CAGGACCATCATTTTGGGACTTCACTGTGCTCTTCTCACAATTTTAGCTGAGCTCTAGCTTTTCAGAGGCATGGTTGAGTGTGAGGGCATGAAAACCAATCCCCTGACCTCAGTGTAAGGGAGGAAGGAGTAAGGCAGGAGGACGTCAAGAAGGAAGTGGTTGGTGATAGTCACTGTGCTCCAGCAGCAAAGATGGCAGAAAACGATTTGCATGAAAGCGATTATGCCAGCTTCTACTTAGCTTTCTGTGGGAGCGGCTCCCCACCCTGATTGCAGGCCTTTTTTACCTCTGAGCACTGTGTACTCTGGGAAGATTTCCTGAAAAACAAGTTTTTGCAAGAGGCTAGGAAGGCCAAGGTGGTGAGGTGCTGGGGGCTGCAAGGAGCAAGGAGCTTGGCTGGAGGAGCAGCACACAAGCAGCTTACTTATCAGAGGGAAGCGCAGAGAAACAGCTGTGGCAGCTGGCACAGCAAAAGGCAAGCAGGCTGCCAGCTGGGTTCTCTTTGGCCCCCTTCTACCCAATCTGTCACTCTGGCTGCACCCAGCTCAACCCCTTGGGCTCTGCAGACGTCGTCCCTGGCAGCAGTTACGTGGATGTGCGTCATCGAAGGCTAATGAGCCTCCCGCAGCCATCATGGCAGCTCCAAAGCACTTCCCTATGGCCGAGCCACTGCTCACTCCGAGTCCTTGCACACCTCACCCAAATGGCACTAAGTGGCAGCTACACAGAAGCTCAGGCTCACCCTTCCAGTGCCACCTCTGCCTGCTCTGTTCAGCTCCGGAGTCTGCAGGAAGCAGCCCGGGTAGCAACATCCACCTGAGCGCTGACCTCGCCCTCTCCTAGAGTCTGGTCACGGCTCCCTCCCACTCTGTGACCCCCAAATGGCCCTTCGCCTGCTGAGTGTCCCTGTACTTAATCTTCTGGGACACAGGTGGTCGCATTATGTGGGGCTCCTGCCGCTCCCTGAAGCAGGTGGACCCTGCCCGAGGGGTGCCAAGGGGTGCCGCAGTTCCTGAGGCCGGGGGCGTTCCATTTGGGGTCTGGCATTCTGTTTTCGCTTGTGATGCTGCCTGGTGTGTGGCCCCTTCTCTAAAGACTATTCATCTCGGCTGTTTCTGGGATTTAAAAGATGTTATTTTTCAGGCTATTATTTTCTAAAGTGACTTTTAAGAAGGGAGGAAAACACGGCTCTGGTGACACACGCCCCCTCACTGGCGGGGCAGAGCCTGATGGCGTGGTAGGAGCTCCTGTGGAGATCTGGGAGCTCTGAAGTTGGGGTAGCCCTGCGGATACCCTGAATTAAGGCAAGGGGGGTTAGTGTGGAGTGCCTCTGGGGAGGGACTCAGCTAGGAAAAGGGTTAGACAGCATCTACCACCCCAACCACCTCATCCAGTAACTAATAATGAGACTAACATTATTTTAAATTATTTATTTTTCTATAATACATTTCATTCAAATCATAAAAGTCTAATACATTTTTTCTCAAATACGACTCATTTCAGATGTTTTCTTATAGGATGGACAAAAATATTCACATTTAAATTGACAAAAATGTCACACAGAGCTTATGCAACTGCAGCTTCCAAGGCCCACCCTGGGCTTCTGAGAGGTGGACACAGCCCTGCCCTGTCACTGCTGATGGTCCAAGAACCACCCTCACAGAAACTGCCAAGGACTCATCCCTCACCCATTGGAAGCAACTTCAGGAAACCCAGGAATAATTAAGTATACAGAAATAGCTCTTCTATAAAATTTCCATATAAAAATAATGGTATTTATTTACAAAGTCTGAGATACTACAAAGTAATGTAACAGGTTAGGTACTGCAGTCTACTAGAGACTACATGGGGCAAATCAGATGTGGTGTTTGCCTTTCCCTCTTGTCTAAACTGCTTAAAGCATGTGGCACCACCATGTAGCCTTCATGCAGGAAAAACCAGATCTATACTTTCCTGGAAAACAAAACCTAACAGCACATGATGAGGGCAAGGCATCTTCAGATAGAAAGTGAACAGAGACCTTAGCTCACAGGCCCCTGAGGGTGTGGTGAAGATGGCACAGGAGGAACTCAGTACTGAACTATGTATGGTCTCAGCTCAGGCCTCCTGTCAGTGGGTGAACTCTGAAAGGCTGAACCTGTCATGGTACTAGCAGGGAAAACAGAACTACTATTGCCCAGAGAAGCCTTTTATAGAAAAGCAGCTGGGTCATCAAAGACCTTTTGGTATGAAAAAAACTTTGACCCTAGTCTGAATAGTTATGAGGCCATCTGTATTAGATGCCCAGCATGGTGAAGCACATGACAGCTGGCGAGTTTAGTGAAGCATGAGAATTATGGCTTTTACAGTCAGTCCACACGGGATCTGGGGATGTTCCTTCACGACACTGACACAGACAGGACGGAAACAAGCTAGTGTGCTACACAAGGCTCGCTCGGCCACTTGGCCTCTCATCTCCCTATTGACCGAGGCGAAGAAGGCTGCTGCCTGGGGAGGAATAAGTTTCTTCCCAGCTGTGAATGTCTAAACCAGGGTCCCCTGAATTGAGAGGCTCCAAGCTGCTAGCACATGCTGGGCTGGGGAGGAGTTCCACTTCTGCTCCTCAGCCATTGGCACTTGGTGATACCTGGGGCCAATGCTAACCCAAGGCCATCGGGAAGGACATGGTGAAGGCGTGGTTTAGAGGCCGCACAGCCCTCACAGGAAGCAGCAGCCAGGGGGCTTCACACAGACTCTGCAGAGGAAAGGAAGGTTGAGAGGCGAGGGCCAGGCAAGCCTCCTGTCGAACCTGTAACTGAGCTAGTTGGAAGAGATGTTCTCTTCCGAAGGACCTGGGCGGAACAGGCGAGGGTTTTGCCCCTGCAGTGAGAGGCAGGCCACAGACGGGGGGTGGATGTCCAGTTATGTCCCCCCCCCACCTTTTTCTTAGCGTATTATGAACATAGATGTGTATGGGAAAACTGGATTCCACAGATTAAGCATACATTTTCAGATATTTTGGTTATACAAAGGGGCTAGTTCCTGAGAATGCTGTAATTTGTGTGGGCATTGAGCTTGAAACTGTTAAAAGGTTAAATCTTTAGCAATTACCAGGCTTTTTCCCTTTAAGTAAGTTTGGCCCTGAGTGGAAGTTTAAGAGGACACTGTGCCAACCATGAATCAGGGCAGGAAGGCACATGTCTGAGGACCACACGAATGCCACGGTGCAGGCTTCTGGAATGCATTCATGAGTGCCGCTGGGTGGGGCACAAAAGTGGGAACTCAGAAACTGGCTCTTAGGTAGCCTACACTCACCAAAGCCAGCCCACCTGCAGAATGATTATTTTGTGTATTTAATACGGAAAATAGGCCTTTATGTATCCAACAGCTTAGAGGACATGTAGAAAGTCCTTCATTTTCGATCACTTGGGTATTGTGCTAGTTCAACTGGAAGGTAATAAAGCTAATAATGAGAACTCCATGGGCTCATGAGAATTTTGTTTTATGGGTATTACTGGTAGCTAAATTTTGTTCGGTACTCTTTAAATATTTTTTCCCAAACCCTGCCCCATACACAGTGCAGTTCTAAGGTGTATGTCACAGGTCATTGACAAGGGACAAACTGTTTTGTTAGGCAAGAGAACTTGACACTAAAAGGCCCCTGAGTCATTCACAGATTGGGTGTAGTGGTGCACCCTGTAATCCCAGCTACTCAGGAGGCTGAGCCCAGCCTGGGCAATTTATTGAGATCCTGTCTTAAAATGGGGAGGGGTGGGGCTGGAACTCAGTCCAATCCCTAAAATCACACACACAAAATGCGAATTACTTATGAAGGTAATCAAGCTCCTCTCTCTCTCTGGGTGTGGATCTGGCAGAAATGGCTGAGGCTGATCCTGTTAACTACTACTCCCAAACACAGACTCAGTACTTGGCTTAAATCACATCACAGTTGGTATAATTTTGATGTCTCTATCACCTAAGATGCCAACAAGAGTTTTGATTTAGCAAACAGCCATGTTACAGATGTCTGAGAGTGACAGTGAGCCGCACCTCCATGTCAATGTGAGAGGCCATTTTCTTTTCCAGGACAGATCCTGGAATTATTTCTCAAATATGGCAAGTATGTTACAGCTGCAAATTTTGTTAATGGAAGGAGTTATCCTTTCATCCTAATAAAAGAAACATCAGAGATTTATCTATTTTATTGTTCTGGGGACTGAACCAAAGGCCTTTGGTCTAAGCTATCACACTAAGCCCATTTTACGTTATTTATTCTGAGACAGGGTATTACTAAGTTGCAATGCAGGGCTCAAACTTTTTGACTCTCCTGGCTCAGCCTCCAGAGTGCTGGGATATCAGTATGCACTGGCATACTCAGCCCCATTACTTCGTTAAGAAATGAAACTTAAGGGCTGGAGATTTAGCTCAGTGGTTTCGCTGCCTGCTGCGCAAGCACAAGGACCCGAGTTTGATCCCCAGTACCAAAAAAAAAAAAGAAATGAAACTTAAGAATACCAAATAGGTCGCGAGCATGCCTCATTCTTGGCGGCAGCAGGCACCAGTGAGAGGTGGAGGGTCACCATGAGTTCCCTTTTCTGTCCTCCCCTACCCTCAGTGATCATAAGGCACAATGTCCACAAACGCTTTCTGCAGGTGCTTTTCAGGTGTGAAGAGTGTGTGGAGAGATTCCCTTGACATGGGGATGGGTGAAGGGACGCCTTGGCTCTGCCATGTCCCAGCAGTGCTTTTTCCATAAAGGTTCAAGTGCACAGGCCTGGAGCTCAGTGCAGGGAGCTTTGCTGACTCAGTGGCTAGAGAGGGAACCGCCACGAGGGCCCGTCAGCAAGGAAGGCCTCTCAAGCTTCCCAAAGAGCAGTGCGACCAAACCCCTCAGCAGGGGTGGTGTGTCCCCAAGTAACTTCGTGAGCCATTAACACAAAGCAGCCCAGGTGTCATGACTGCAATTTCTTCACTTTGACTCCTGTATGAAGTTGTGACTAAGTGTGGAGTTGGCCCCAGATGGGTTTGTTTATCGGAGATACAAAAGAACAGAATTTACCTTTCCCAACATCTCAACCTAGGTGCTTCCAGGTAAGGTTTGAAACTAGCAACAGGAGGCAGTGACCATAGTGTCACTGAGTGAGATGTTCTCAGCAGTGACCCAAAGGCATCATTGAGAAACAGGGACATTCTTGCCAACGCCACACACCAATGGTTGGGAGGGCAGTGGTTGGGAACCAAGATGGACCAGTTTTGGGTTGTATTTTTTTTAAAAAGCCCATATTTTATCAATTTAAAGCACTATAGCAACAGAGGGAAGATACAAGGAAACAGCTTCCCAAAAACTCGAGCAAGAATTCTGATATTTAGGGGCTGGGGATTTAGTTCAGTGGCACCGTGCCTGCCTCGAAAGCGCAAGGTCCTGAGTTTGATTCCTGGTACCAAAAAAAAAAAAAATTCTGATATTTAGAAAAGGAGCAGGCATAATGTATGTATCAGTCTTAAATTCTGAAATCTATCTTGGGAGATGTAGTTTAATATTTTGAAGACCAGAAAGGCAGCTGTGGCCCTTGGCCTCTCTGGCTCCTTGCTAGGCTCCCTCCCTTCAGGTAGAGAGATGAGAGAGCATGAGGCTGGTATACAAGGCAGCAGATCCTTAGAGGACCACGTAGAAGGACAGCCCATGTCACCCCAGGCAGAAATAGCTGTTACAGGCTGGTGGCACCTGCTGCTGCCTCTGCAGCATTCTGGACGGCTTCCATCTGAGAGAGAGGTATGCTCCGGAACTCAACTCAGATGGAATTCTGTACAACCTGCCATTATCTCCCTGCTACACGCTACAGCTTAGTTCTGCCAGAAAGAGAGCTCTGTCTCAAAGGAGCCTAAGCTAAAGTTGTGTGATCTTCTTTGTCAGTGTTTGCTTAAGGTCCTAATAAAAATGTAAGCCAGCTGAAGCCTTCACCCGCAGCTCACTGGAGCACAGCGGGAGAGCTTTAGAAAGGCTTCCTGGGCCAGTGAGCTAAGAACCTGTGGGCCACACTTGGGGCTGGGCCCACAGATGCTAAATGCATGATCTCAGGACAAATCCTATGGGTCAAGTCAAAGTTTTAAAGTTAATTCTTCTCTGAGTCTTTGTTCCCTTTTAAGGCCTTAATGTATAATTAAGTTGGGGATTGGGCCTGGTGGCAGATGCCCCACTGTCCTTCATGCAGAGAAGCAGTGATCATGAACACCCCAGTGAAGTAATTTCCAACAATATCTTTGGCTACAAAATTGCACACTACATACCAACTACTATGTGTCCAATCAACTGGAGTGTTCAGTGTTTTCCACAGAAATACCAAAAATTGGGTTAGTTTCAAATGCAGCTCACCTAGGAATAAATCTAAAAGGTCATTTTGATTAATTAAAATGTGGAAAAAAGGTAACATGTACAAGAAAACATTACTGTTCATATTCTTGAAATACTTTTCTTTCAAGACAAAAGTAATGACATTTGGTTCATTTTCACAAATTGCACACTGGGTAAAATCACAAAATTACTGCAGAGAGCTGTAGGCAAGCGGTTTGGTCATAGGAATTTGCTTTTTTGTTTCACTGTAAATGAAAAAGCTGTATGAAATGCATAGCTTTGATTAAAACTACAGATACAGTTCGCTTCTCTGTAAAAACTCCAGATTTAGAATGCTGGCAAAAGGCAGTGCTGGCACATTTTAATGCACATGGAAATGCTTTCTATTTTGGCTTCCATAAGTAGCCCTAGTAAATTCTATGCACCAATGCATTGGCTAAAAATGATCATATCAGTTTTACTATAAATTATTCTAAATGTCACTTAAGTACTTAAGAGTTAGCGCTTGCTCCTTTCTGAAGCTGTCTAAGGTAGCAGATGCATAAAGTACCTCAACTAGACTTCCAAATAGTTCAGCAGTTAATCTGCACTCCCAAGCCTCAGGATTGCAATCTATTCCCCTCACCGCACAGCCTCCAAATGAGGGCTTTTGTTTATTTCTGCCTGGTAAAAGGCAGCCCAGGTGAGGGACAGAAGAAACACGACCATTGCTGAGGACTGTTTCTTGTAGCAATCTCGGTTCTAACGAGGTTACATGGCTGTAAGGAATACAAAGTTCCCACCTCGTGGAAGATAAATAAGCCTCATTCATGCTGCCACTTCTTTGGGGGTTATGCCCCTTCTACCTCCTCAGAAAACACACTTTGTTTTTGATGTGATCTACTGCTCTGCTGGTCACTGTTTTCATTCATGCTATGTTAACAATCACCTCGCCCTTCATGTAATTTGCTTATTGTGTTTCTCTGGTTTCCACTGAACACACAGTGCAAACAAAGGCAAAGACTGAAGCAATCATTTCAAAAACGACCTCACACTAAAAACACACATGAGCATCAAATATTAAAATGTGACTTTTCTCTTGTCTTTATTCTGGAGAGGAGGAATCCTCCTCATCATCTTCCTCGTCTTCATCGTTGAACGAGCAGGGGGTCTCGCCTCGGGACTCAGAGCAGTGAGAGGCCGCACTGCTGGACTGGTGACTGTTTGGGGCAAGGAACTGCCCGGTTGCTAAGGCCACTTCAGCATCCAAGCATAACCCTTGGTTTACACTAGCAAACAGTTAAAAACACACAGGTTCATTAATGCAGTAGAAACAATCTTTGTAAAACATACAAATAAAAACAGGAAGGAGGTGCCAGTGGCAATACATGCCACAGACCTGCTCAGGACGTACACAGCAGTGAAAATGGCCCTGGCTCACCCCTGCAGAGTTAAGGCTTCCTGGTTTGCCTTTCTAACTTAGAAAAACATACATACCTTGATTGGGGTAAGGTTGCACCGGTGGTCAAGTCTAAATTTGATGCTGATTGGGCAGAGTTCAAAAGTAGTCCTTGATTTAACCAAGAAGGTCCTGTGGAGATATCTGAGAGAGAAAGAGAGAAAAAAGTAGGCTCTGTATATTCTGTGGCTGCTGTTATAGTGTGGAAAAAAATCACAGATAATTCAGGGATAAGTCTGTTCTTAACTATAGCTAGACAATTGTGCTACCCTAGGAAGAACCCAACTTTCTTCATCTCTTGAAGGAAAATAATTTCTAGAACACATGAGCAAAAAAAAAAAAAAATTATATATATGTATATATGTGTGTATATATATGTGTATACATACACATGTATGTGTATATACATGTATACATGTGTGCATATATACAAGTATTATGTATATACATGTGTGTGTATACACACACGTGTATGTATACATGTGTATATACACACACACATATACATACATACATACATACAGGCTAATATAGGGAGAAAGAATTTAAAGGAAAACAATCATAGACTCTTATTTTTTTTTCCTTGGAAAAGACCTCCAGGAGGCTTCCCAGGTACAGTGACCAGTGTGTGCGTGATCTGGGACATCTGCTGTCCTCAGATTTGACTGTGGTGTTAACAGCCACAGCCAAGAGCAAAGAAAAGTCGGTCAAATCAGAAGTGTCTTAGGTAAGGAAGCCGAAGCCCTGCTTCTGGAAGACAGACACACACATTTTTATCAAACCTTTGCTTTATCATTTTTTTTTTTTTGGTAACAGGGATCAAACTCAGAACCTTGTGCTTGTGAGGCAGGTGGCGGTGCCACTGAGCTAAATCCCCGGCCCTGCTTTATCATTTTTTAAGTGGCTGCTGGAGAACTCAATGCTATTACTCATCAAAGATCCTTTCAGTTGTGACAGACTTTTTCCTGATGTCCTTTGCTTTACAATTCAAACTTGTCCTTATTTTTAAGTCATGCTTTTTTTTTTTTGGCACCAGGGATCAAACTCGGGTCCTTGAGCTTGCGGGGCAGATGGCAGAACCACTGAGCTAGATCCCCGGCCCAAGTCATGCTTTTAATGAGGGAAATTTTTAATGCAGTTGTGTTTTCTGGGTTTTTTTTTGGTACCAGGGATCGAACTCGGAACCTTGCGCTTGCGAGGCAGGCAGTGGAACCACTGAGCTAAATCTCCAGCCCTAACGCAGTTGTGTTTTTAACATGGTGACACAGACATTACAGTCTACAGAAACTATTTTGGGTATATCTTCGCAACCTTATTTTCTGTGTATATGCCATAATGATATTACAGCACTGATCAATTCTTACTGCAATTTTACTTAATACTTACCTCCCTATCTAGAATGTTAGCTCAAAGAAGGCAGTAACTTTGGGCCGGGGATTTAGCTCAGTGGCACTGTGCCTGCCTCGCAAGTTCAAGGTCCTGAGTTCAAACCCCCAGTACCAAAGAAAGGGGCAGTAACTGGAACAAATAAGATCTAAATGATACTGAATGAGAACTGTCTCTTTCAACTGTGACTTTAATAGGTAGTTGAAACATTAGAAACATACTCTGAAAAAAGAAATGATTTCACTTATACTGTAAGATAAAACCTAATGTATCCTCACAAAATGTAATCTGCCAAAACAAACTTTTATTTTATTTAATAAGAATTTTTAAAATTACTGTTTAAAAGGGTCAGAGATTTAGCTCAGTGGTACCACCATCTGCCTCGCAAGCTCAAGGTCCTGAGTTTGATCCCCAGTACCAAAATAATAATAATAATAATAATAATAATAATAATAATAATTATTTTAAAAAAAGAAATTGCAGTACATATACTGAGATTTAAAATTCTGGTATCCTGCCACTGCCTAACCAAGTGAGAGGCTGTTCTCATGTAGGAAAAGAGTAAACTTTAATTTTAGACTGGCCTTGTGAACCTTTTTCTTCACAGGGTAACTAAGGCAGCTGTGAAGAAAAAGAGGACTCCAATTCTAAGAACTTTAAGAACATTAAGTAAGAACAATTCTGTACAAGATGATGAAATTAAGGGCAGAATCCTATGCTGAATATTAACTACTACAAAGAACTATGAAAACTTTCAGTCAGAACACAGCCATTACTTGTTTGTGAACATAACAGATAATTTTTTCATAATGGAACTGAAAAGCCTACATTTCTTTCACATTTGCATAGGAGCCATACAATAGTTCTCACACTGTTACCCAAGAGCTTTTCTGTCCCTTTCTGTAGGAAAGGCACATGGTTCCTTCCACTGAGCTAATCAGAAATCTGTATCCCAGTCTGTAAATGAGGTCAGGAAGAGATCAAACCTCGGAGCCTGCCTGATTACCTCAAGGCTTCTCACTGAGAATGAGCTAATGTCAAGTTCTGGTGATTTATTGGTAAGCCTTTTCTTCAGACCCTGCTGGGCGCCCAGTGTGACTGGGTTGCTAATGAAACAGCAGGACGCAGGCCAGAGAGAGTGCACAGGTTGGCTGAGGGGTGAAGAGAACAGGGGTCACACTTGGAGAAGGTAGGTGCTGCCGACTTAAGAACCAAATTCAACAGAAACCAAACCTCAGTCAACAAACTCTTCTGTTGTGAACAAAGGGCCAAAGGAAATACAATTAAAATTATCATTTTGCTTATATTTGATTTAATATACCTTAGAAATATGCTATTAAAATGCTGTTAAAAAGTGACCAGGATGTGTTTGATACGCAGCACTGTGAAACAAAACAAACCAAAAACAATAGAAAAAGTGATATATGGGGACTCACACCTTTAATCCCAGCTTCTGGGGAGGCTGAGGCAGGATTGCTTGAACCCAGGTATCTGAGGCTGGCCGAGGCAACATAGTCAGACATTGCCTCAAAAAACCAAACCAAAACAAAATGTGATGTGAAATTCTAAATGAGAGCAAAGGCAAGTACATTGTTTATTCGAATTATATTGGTAGAATATATATTTCTAGAAATTAGGATAATCATGATTTCTAGATGAAAATCTGGATCACAGAACATGCAAAATTGTTTTTTTAAATGCACTCAGTATATTTTTGCAATTCAAAATAAGACAAGTAGCTCAAACATATCTTGGAGGGAGATATATCAATAGACAATAAATGCATGAAAAGATGCTCGGCATCATAAAGTTATTAGGCAAACGCAAATAAAAATCAGTGAGTAACCAGTTCATACTGAACAGGATGGCTACAATTAAAAAGATGGTCAGGGTGAGAGTACAGCTCAGTGGCAGAGCCCACACTTAGTATGCATGAAGCTGTGTGCCAAAGAGTTAAAAAAACAAAAAGATGGACAAGGGACAATAACAAATGTTGAAAACAATGTGGAGAAATTGGATCCTTTGCTGGGAGTGGTGGCGAGCACCTGTGATCCCAGAACTCAGGAGGATCGCCTGGAATTTGAGACCAGCCTGGGTTACATGGTGAGTTCAAGGCCAGCCTGAACTACTGAGACCCTATCTCAAAAAAAAAAGAAGCTGAGCCGGGGATTTAGCTCAGTGGTGCCAATGCCTGACCTGCAAGCACAAGGTCCTGAGTTGGATCCCCAGTACCAAAAAAAAAAAAAAGAAAGAAAGAAAGAAAGAAACTGGGACCCTCATACATTGCTAGTAGGATTCTAAAAGCTTACTCTCAGGGGACGCTAAGCTATGTTGTCGGAATCATAGATAAGATGTATCTACGAGGAGTCAATGCAGTGCTGCAAGATGCTGTGGAGTCAACTTAGTGGTGAGCCAGCCAATTTACAGCTACAGAATGTATGCTGTAGAGATGTAAGTTCACGATATTAAAAAAACAACCCAGTTAATTTTGAAAAAACCTCCTAAATTTATTATACAAAGTGTTGCAAAATTTTAAACATTTTTTAAATTTGTTTTTTGGAGACAGTGTCTCGCTGTGTAGTTTAGGCTGGCCTTGAACTCACTATGTAGCCCAGGCTGACCTTGAACTTGGGGCAATCCTCCTGCCTCAGCCTCCTGAGTGCTGGGATTACAAGTATGCATCATCACACCCAGAAGTGTTAGAAATTTCAATTTGGTGATGCAAACACAGATTTTCTCAGATTTTGCAGCTTTCTTAACAAGTTTGGTTTTGACCTTTAATCAGGGCCAGCAGGGGCCAGCATGGGTAACATACCTGTGATGTAACTTTCTAAAGCCTTTGGCACCAGTGATTTAGCCAGTTTCAGGTCCTCCAGAGAGCATTTGCCTGACTCCAGGCCAAAGGACATTCCCATCCGTTTCAGTACTTCTATGTCATCATGGATCTCAAAGGTGTTGTCAAAATTAAAAAGATATTCAAACCTGCAGCACAAAACAAAGTAAGGATGGGGTTGGTTATCAGTGGAGACATCTGAATGGTTCTGGACCCTGAACTTTTAGAGAACAGAAGCCTTAATTTCAGCCATGGTACTAGAAACTTCACCATTTAGAGCACTGAGTCATTCTATTGTGTTGACCTTCCAACCAATCTATTTCCAATTAAAATAACTTTCCTGAGACAGCGGAAGTCCATACGTTTTTGTTTTGTTTTTGAGACAGGGTCTCACTATGCAGTTCAGGCTGGCCTCAAACTCGTGGCAATCCTTCTGCCTCAGTCCCGAGTGCTGGGATTACAGGCGTACGTCATCATGCACAGCTTAGCTTAAATCCGTATGTTTTAACCCTAATGTTACTGGCAAACAGGAGACAGAAGTTTTGTTTTAAATCCAATTCTTTTCAAAATTAACTATAGTTTTGCCACAAAAGCAAAACCTAACCCAGCACTCTGGGAGACTGAAGCAGAAGTTCAAGCAAGCCCAGGAAACTTAGCTACTTAGTGAGACCCTCTCTCAAAATAACAAACACATAAAAGGGCTGGGAATGTAGCTCAGTGGAAGGCCCTGGGTTCATACAAAAAACAAAGACAAAAAAAGTCACTTTAGTTTGATGTGGTAACCCTACTATAGCTGGTTATTAGCTTTGAGGAAAACACATTTTGAATGCTTACTTCATGAGTCAAGTATTCACTACAGCATACTTTAGCTAAGCATAAACAGAAGATCTTTTTTGTTTTTTGGGATATAGTCTTGCTTGATATGTAGCCTAGGTGGGTCTCAAATGTGATCTTCCTGCCTTAGCTCCTAAGTACCCGGGACTATAGGCATATATTAGTATGCCTGGTTTAAATGAAAGACAACAAACTAAACAACTTTTCAATCCCATCATGAAGGACAAAGTAGTGAAATGTTTTTAAGAAAAAGTGTTACGTGTAATTCATATGTAGCACATTTCCACATGTTCCTGAAAAGGGCCCAATCTGGGCATCTAGCTGCCCAGCACAACAACTGAAGAGGCGATGTGGGAAGACACAGTCCTCTGGCTTCCAGACCAGGCCTGTGATACCTTCATCACAGGCTTCACTCTGAAGGGACAGAGTGCAGGTGCAGCCTCTGGGACAATGGTGGTTTTTACCTTGCTGTAGAGTTCTCTCTTAAAATCATGTGAGGGTGAAACATTTTATAAGAGATCTTAGGTCAGAGAAAAAAACTTAACAATTTTTTGTTTGTTTTTTTTTGGTACCGGGGATCGAACTCAGGTCCTTGCGCTTATAGAGCAGGCAGCGAAAAAACTTAACAATTTGAAGCAAAATGTCATATTTAAATATTCTAAAGTATATGAATGAAGCACATTAATAGGTTTTTAGGAAAACAATCTGAAGTGGATTCTTTGTCAAAGAGATGATTTCAGGCATCTGTTCAAAGCAGATGGCTTTGAAAACTTAATCCTCATTGTGGGAAAGCCTCCTGCCTAATTAAGGGGAAGATTGCATCACGAAAGTAACTGGCAGACAGGGCCACACAGCCACCTTCAATAACAAGCGTGCACAAGCTGCTCTATGAATTGCTGGACAGGCAAGGGCTGAGTCAGTGGCCACCCGAGGCACTGTGCCGCGAAGGTTCCGGCATGCTGAACAGTGTCCATAATCCTCTAGGACAGCAGTTTCAGAGTTTCTGGATACCATTTTTTTTACTTAAAAGGCTAGCCCTAGGAAAAGAATTTTATAATCTCCCACACAAGTGGCTAACTTTAGAGAGTAACTATAAGGTGAAGTTTGGGGGGATTTTTCCTGAAAAGATGTTAACAGTTCTCTTAGATGTAGGATTTGCAAAGAATTTGTAAGCTCATGAATAGTAATTCAGGGTCTGAGGATTTAGCTCAGTGATGCCGCCGCCCACCTTGCAAGTGGAAGGTCCTGAATTCGATCCCAGGTACACCCCCCCACCCCCAATTCAGACATATAACATTTATTGACCACTAGTCTGAATCCTGTATAAATTTATCTATGGCTTTTGTAAACTGGCAAGGTAAAATACAATAATTTTTATGGTTTTTTGAGACAGGGTCTTGCTATGTAGTTTGTGCCAGACTTGAACTCACTATGTAGTCCAAGCTGGCCTTGAACTTGTAGCAATCCACCTGCTTCAGCCTCTCAAGTGCTGAGATTACAGGCATACACCACCATGCCTGGCTATAATTCTTATTTTTGTAGTGGAAGGAAAAAGATTTCAGAGAGGCTAAAAAACTTAAAAAATGGATTTAGTTAACTTCACAGCTTCCACAGTCTTTACTATTCCTTTTGTGCCTGTAAGTATCAAATAATTTTGAAACCCTTCCTGTTTCTCTTTATCCTCTTTCCCCCTCAAATTTTTGTATGTGATAGAAATAGACAGGAGAAGCAAGGCCAGCAAAGAAAGGAAGCTCTGGTCTCCCTGAGGCAGTCCTGGGCATGCCTGTGACACTGAAGTCATTAATACAGTCTTTCGCTTTTAGAAGAATCCCAATGTGGATAATTATTGCTGACCCCTTGCAATAAAGCTAACATTTATAAAGTGCTTGCCTTGAGTCAGACCATTTATAGGAATTACCTCACTCACTCCTCATAATAGTTGGGAAGACATATAAGTGCTAGTGTCATTTCTATTTGTTGCTGAGAAAACAGAGCTCTGGAGCAGGTGGGTGGGGGAACCACAACCTTCACTTGGGCCTCATCATTCTGCAGTCTTCATGTCTCAAAGCACTGAGCAAGCCTGCACACCATTAGTTTTCATGAAAGGTAAAAAAATTACAGAGGAATTCTCTATTTTCTTCTTGCTATGATGAATATTAGCATCAATTTTAATGAAAATGTAAAAAAAAAATTTAGAGAAAAAAGCAAAATGTCCAGCATCTTAATGTCATTTCATTACTAAGGAAAAGCACATAAAACTGTGATATAATAAAACAAAGAAATGATTGTTTAATGCCACCATTGATCTAGTAATAAACTATGACAGTGATCATCAATGAACCTATCTTGTCCCTAAACCCTCAGTGACATCTAGCACATGTGTGGCACCTCACAGCTTGGGCTGTGACACACACATCACAGGCAGCAGCAGAGTGCCTGGTACAGGACCAGGACGGGACCAGGACAGCAGGGTGAGTGACGGGGTCACACTGGCCGAAGGCAGCACCCTGGCCGATGAGGAGTTTCCCATGGCCCACAGAAGCCAGCCCTGGAGGGTGACCATCTTTCTTCTGCAGATGATGTTGAGTGTTAACAGAAGGCCGAAGGCCGGCCTGCACCAGTCCCAGGCGCCTACTCACTTGTCACTGGAGATGCTGCAATCTATCACCGTCTTTCTGCTTGTATTGATGATTATAAACGGCAGCTGAATGGTGGAGTTGAGCGCTGGGGGGCCCTGGTTTTGCTGTTCGTTTTGTCGATTTCTCTGTACCAGGTTTTTGAAAGCAATTTGCTATAATGTTCAATAAAAAGAAAATGGTCATTTAATGTAGATGAGTGAATTGGAATTTAAAGGGACAGTCCATTTACATTACTGAATAAAAATTACACATTTAAGAAAAAAGATCAGAATGGTTCTACACAATAAATATATATCAAGGGGAAAAATATATACTCATATAATGTCTAATATCATCCTAATGTAAATACTGGGGGCCCTGGTTTTTATCACCCACAGAAACAGATCTGAGCTCAGTGACACAGTGACAGCAACACCAAGTGAGTTTATCAACAGCTTCCTGAGAGTTTAGGGTCAAATATATACCTTTTTTCTTTGAGATATTGTCTCCCTATGTAGTTCAGGCTGACCTCAAACTTGTGGTGATCCTCCTGCCTCAGTTTACCAAGGGCTGGAATTACAGGCATGCACGACCACGGCCCATCACTTTTTTTTAACCTTTTGTTTTGGAGATAAGGTCTTGCTACAGGGTCCAAGTTGGACCCCAGAACTTGTGATGCTCCTGCTTTAGTCTCCAAACTGCTTGGTTTATAAATCTGGCACCACACCCTGGTCTCAAACAGACTTTTTATCTAATAGCTTCCCGAGCCTTTAGGGTCAAAAATACCTTTTAGATCATCTAGCCCCAGGAGATGCAAATGTTTTACAGCCACAGAACCCTATCTTCAAACAGCTTCACCTGGGAGACTCACTGCATAAAACAGGTGGAACATTCTATCCCTGGTACCAAAAAAAACAAAAAAGAAAAAAAAACAGGTGGAACAGCATTGCTCGGGCTAGCTGCGGCAGCCCAGGGCCATTCATCGTTACAGTGGTTTCTAAGGCACTGCAAAATTTCTCCATATCCTCAGGACACATTTGGAATCCAGCCCAAGCCTCCCTCAATCTGACATTTTCCTGAGAAAGAAACTGAAGCTTAGTACAGATTATGAAATGTTATCAATCCCTGAATTACTTTCTTGTTTTTGTGGTGGGGTTCAACACTGAGATCAAACCCAGGTGTGCTCTACCACTGAGCTACATTGCAGTCTGTTTTATTTTTTATTTTATTTTGAGATAGGGGCTCTCTAAGTTGGCCAGGTAAGACTTGAACTTGTGATCCTCCTGTCTCAGCCTTCCTCAGCTCTGGGATTACCGTTGTGCACAACTGCATCCGACTAAGGCCTGAATCTTTATACTGAATTTTGCTGCTGTTAGTAATAATCATTACCCAAAAGCCAAAGAAAGTGACCTTTTACAATACTGGCTCTTTTTTTTTTTTTTTTTTTTGGTACCGGGGATTGAACTCAGGTCCTTATGCTTTCGCAGCAGGCGGCGAAACCACTGAGCTAAATCCCCGGGCCCCATACTGGCTCTTTTTTAATAAGGAAAGTGGGTTATATATAATTTCATAGCTGGGAAGACCTTATGTAGTTCAATTTTTTTCATCTGCTTGTGAAACACTTAATGGTCTTAAAAACATCCCAAGTTAGAACCATTCAATCCTTTCATTAGCTTGTTTTATCTTGTCAACCAGTAATGAGATTCCAAGTTATTTTTCAGCCCTTAACATTCTTTGTTTTTTTTTTTTTGGTACTGGGGTTCGGACTTGGGACCTTGTGGTTGCAAGGCAGGCGGTAGAACTACTGAGCTAAATCCCCGGCCCATGCCCTTAACATTCTTATGCCCAGGTTTGTTTATTTCAGGTTCTGGGCCTTAACTAAAGTTTGATTAAGAACGCTATTATCTTAGCCAGGCCTGGGGGAGCACACCTGTAATCCTAGCACTCTAGGAGGGTAAGGCAGGAACATCACAAGTTCAAGCCCAGTTCTGAAAAAAAAAAAATTATAATCTTAAAACAGCTAGGAAATATCTCCCTAAAAAGTGAACATTCACTCTTAACATGCATAAAACAGAATGGACTCCAATTTATTCCAGCCTAATGGTGTAGCCAAAAATACGCTATCAATATAAATCACTATCACACACAATGGAGTACTACCCTGCCACAAAAATAAACTTGAGTCATGGACTGGGGATGTGGCTCAGAGGGCACCACACCTGCCTGCCAAGTGCAAGGTCCTGAGTTCGATTCCTGGTACAAAAAAAATTGAGTCACTTGTAGGAAAATGGATGCACCTTGGGACCATAATGTTAAGTGAAATAAATCAGACACACAAGATTAAATATTGCATGATTTTTCTTATATGAGAAACCCAAATTGTAAATAAAGACCACAATAAAAGACAATAGAAAGTAGGGAGACAGATCTTTCTCAAATGCGAAGGGGATCAAGAGATGAGGGAAGGAGAGGGAAGGGAGGGAAAGGGAATAGAAAAAAAGGAATTTAGATGTTATGCGCATGTACCAACTCCACACAAGGAATGTAAACATTAAGTACTACAAATATGTACTAAAGATTTTTTTTAAAAATCACTATCATTATCAAACACTGTTACTTTTTTTATTATTTTCTCTTTTCAAAGAATTCAAGTTGGTTGGTTGTGTCTGTTTGTTTTGTTACCAGGGATCAAACTTGGGATTTTGCGCTTTCGAAGCAGGCGGCAGAACCACTGAGCTAGACCCCCAGCCCAAGTTGTTTTATATTTATTGCTTAATTCATTTACTAATAAGGGGAAGATGTGCTCAAACCCTAGAAGTGAGAAAAAGAATTCAACGTTTGAGCACTTCTGTCTACTTCTTTTCCTCTCTACGAGAACACACTTCCTGGGAGCTCTTCCCATCCTTGCCTAGCCTTGTGGCCCTAGAGCAGTGATGGTGAACCTTTTAGAGACTGAGTGCTCAAATTGCAACCCCAAACCCATTTATTTATTGCAAAGTGTGCAAACACTGCAATTAAATTTGAATATCTGATGCTCAGCTGCTGGGGCAATTTGGCTCATGTGCTGACAGAGGGGTTGTGCCTGCTGCAGCACGTGTGCCATAGGTTCATCACCACTGCCCCAGAGGAATGTTGGAATGTAAACAGTGACAAGGGAAATTCCATATATATGTATTTGGTGTTGGAGATTGAATGCTGGGACTTCACACTGAGTGAGCTACATCCTCAACCCTTTTTTATTTTGAGGGACAGTCTTGCTAAATTGCCAAATAGCCCAGACTGGGCTTGAATTTGTGTTCCTCCTGCCTTACCCTCCCCTAAAGTGCTGGGATTACAGACATGCCCCTCAACTCCTGGATCTAAGTCCTTATATATTTGTAGTGTACTATATGAGACTGTGTAATTTAATAGCATCAAAGACTTTGATGAAGACAACAGTACAAAGAAATTATTTTGTCTTTTGTGGTGCTGGTGTTGTAGCCCAGGGCCTCATCCATGGTAGACATATTCTCTATGACTGAGCTATACCCCCAACCATATATATATATAAAATATATTTGGGGGAGGTTGAGGCAGGGTCTCACTATGCAGTTCAGGCTGGCCTCGAACTGATGGTGATCCTCCTGCCTCAGCCTCCAGAATGCTGGGATTACAGGCATGCATCTCTATGCCTAGCCTGTTATTGTAATAGTAAAAAGAACAATCACTTCCCATTTTCACTGTACTAATTTTCTTATTTGTTGCCCTTTGATGAACTTCCTTTAGCCTTTTCTTTTTCAGACTCATTAACATCAACTTCAGAGGCTGAACAGCTTTAAGTGTGTTCAGTGCTGGAAAAGATTCAAGGTCTGGGAAGAATAAAATAAAGAATGTGGATTATCTATAGATATAATTTATGCACACTATTCCTCTTCTCCCACACTACCAAGGATAAAGGAGAGGTGATGGCATGCAGGTAATAGCTACCCTTGTCATGTGACATCAGTGTGTTATGACATTTACTTAAAAAAATCAAACTAGCTTAACCATAGGAAATAATTAGTGTTTAGGAACAGCTATTTTAGTTTACTTTCTATGACAATTTCAAAAATACACCCCCCCCACACACACACACTGGAGACGGATGCCAGGGGGACTCTCCCACTGAGCTACATCCTCAGCTCCCTCCTCTTTCTCCAGTACCAGGGATTGAGCTCAGGACCTTGTGCTTATGAGGCAGGCGTGGTGCCACTGAGCTACATTACTAGCCCCCTAGCCTTTTTTATTTTTCATTTTGAGAAAGGATCTCTTTAAGTTCAGGCTACTATCAAACTTGTGGTAGTCCTGCCTCAGTCCACTGCATAGCTGGAACTACAGATGTTGTTCTACTACACACAGCTATAACTTTATAAATGGTATTTACAAAGGGAGAAAAATGAAACACTAGGAGGAGGTAAGCTGTATGTCTATCAGAAGTTCTTGTTTTTAGTTATACTTTGGATTTCAGCTTAGTGCTTGGAGAAGGCTGTTTCGATGTATATTAACAGGCTGTCTGTAAGTTGAAATCTATAAATACAGTGTTTGGTTTGAGAGACGGTAGAAGAAATTTAGGACTTAAAAAGCGTAAGTACAATGTTCCCTACACAACCAAACAGATAAAAAATATTCAACTTCAGTCTTTTGCTGGCCACCTGGAAATGTGAAAGTCCTACCTGGATGAGGGCAATCTTGTCCAGAGCATTGTTTCTGATACACAAGCAGATAATTACAGGCATGCTGATAAACCAGGTGCTTTAAAAAAGGTATGGGAAAAAATCATACTCCAGAATGCTCCATGAAGGTTTAACAAGATACCAAGAAAGTCCCAGCACAGGATTTAGAGACTGTGGGCTGGTTGGGGGGATACTGCGGGTAACTGTGCAGGGACCAGGACAACACAGTGGCAGGCAGGGAAGAAGAGAGCAGGAGAGCTGGAGGAGGAGCTCCTGCAGGATTCCACAGACAGCAGCACTGAAATACATTGTCAGTTTTCAACTTTTTTCCCTAAAGCTGCTGAATACGCTCTTCCCAGTAATTAACAAAACCTTACTTGGAAACCCAATATGAAAATACATAAAATGGGGCCAGGGATTTAGCTCAGTGGTTCAGGTGCCTGCCTTGCAAGCGCAAAGTCCTGAGTTTGGTCCCCAGTACCAAAAAAAAAAAAAAGAAAATATATAAAATGCCTTATATCCCTGGTGCTCAGTCTAAAAGCCAGACACAGAATGCAGTAAGAAATCACTGATCAGAAGGGAACATGGTCTCTGGGCTTCTGTGCTCAGTCTTTGCTTCACCCATGGCCACTCTCTACCCTTCCCTCCTTCCTCTCTTCTTTCTTCCTTGAAGATCACCCACAGACTCCTAGAAAACTAAGTGTCTTCTCTTACTCTCTGATTTGTAAATGAATGTGAAAGATCAAAACGCCAAAGAAAATACTATCATCTAGAAAGTGAAAAACAAGTATCCATGATATTTAAGAACACATTCTGACCCCTGGACAAAATAAATATTGAAGAAATAAAGCTGCTGCAGTATTTGGTAAGTTATTGTTACCTTTAGTTCTAAAAAGCATATTACATCAAAAATTATAGGAGCTACAGTTATTCAAGTCAAAGCGGATTTAAATTGAAGTGGATTATATGTTTGATGGTAAAGTGTTTCATATAAAGACACCTTCCTGAGAAAGCAAAAGGATGAAGATTCTCTGGCCCATTGTACAAAGTTTATGTGATTAGACTGAAAATGGCCCAACTGTACTTTCTGCTGGGAATAAATTTTTACACCAAATGCAATTAATAAGACAACAACAAACGTCTGTCTACCTTGTGATTTACCCTTGCATGTTTTTTATACAAGGATTCTTTCTATAATACTTTTAAAAAGTCATCCAAGTTCTATACAATTATCCTAAAAAGTATGAACACAGGGATTTTTAAGAATTGTACAATTTCTTTTTCTTTTTTCTTTGTGGTACTGGGGATTGAACTCAGGGTCTGCACACTGAGCTACACATCCTCAGTCTTTCTGGATAATTTCTCCCCAAGTTGATAAACTGATCAGGCTGGCTTGGACTTGTGATCCTCCTACCTCAGCCTTCCAGAATGCTGGGATTACAGGCGTGTACCACCATGCCCCGCTTGCTTGTGCTTTCTTCCCTCCCTCCCTCTCTTCCTTCTTTACTTTTGTGCTAGGAATCAAGGTGCAATTTTCTTTTCGTAAACAGAAACGTATTTTAAGTTTTGCTATTTCTACACAGCTTATCAAGTCATTCTGTCATTCACTGATTACAGGTGGATTTGATTATTTTACTTCAAGCACCTAAAACTTACCTAGTACTATGGGACACTCCAATATAAAGACAAAATAAACAGAAGACTGATAGCTTATGTTTGGTGTAAGGCTGGCATCCAAAGTGAATTACTGCATAAAGGGCCATACTCAGGGCAGGAGCAATGGCTAAGACTGGGAGAGGCACTCTGATTACAAAACACATTGACTCTAAAAGAAAGCAAGTGGAGAAGAAAGATACAGGCAGGGATGGTAATGAAAAACACCCGAGAATTTTTACCTGTAGGAGAAGTTCTTGCAGTTGGGCCCGCTTTTGCTTTATCCGTTCTATCCGTCTCTGCTTCTCTATCTTTAAAATATAAGTTTAAAATAATACAAAGTACCACTTCATTTTTCAGGCCTTTCCTCTAAGATATCAAGAATTTTCCTTAGAGAAACTCAATCCACTTTAACTGCTGAATACGGCAAATTATCATCTTTTTGGGGGAGAGGACTGGGCTAGGGAAGCAAGCACAACAGAACTGAGGGCATGGTCATCACCAATGAAATCCATCCATTTAACCAACAGGTGTGAGTGTGCGACAACATTTCAGTGACGGCTACAGAAATGAGGTGAGACTAAAAATATGGTGAATATTTAAAATTTCTTTAAGAAGCAGTTCTGGAAGTCTTCTTTTCTGGCTTTAGTTGCACTGTCATGGTTGCTTTGATGTTCTGAATAGATTCAAAATGTTTATCTTTCATGGTCATTTTGACTTTGGGGAGGAGCCAGAAGCTGCACAGTGCCAGATCCACTAAATAAGCTGGATGAGGACACACCATGTTGGATGGCTCGTGGCAACAACATTCATGATATTTTTCATCTCACCTCCTAAAGACACTCACTTAAGAGGACTTACAGAGATGCTTCAGAAATCAGCAAGAATGGTGAGATAATTATGTTCAGATGGGATAATGAAGTTCAAAGTGAGGAGGGTATTTTGAAGGAGATTAGTAGCTATGTATCTTTTACTGTAATAAAAATGTAAGCATTCTCCCTATATTTTGATTACTCTGTGTATGACAGCAGTCTTGTAAGATTATAATGGACCTAGAAGCTCCTATTTCGTAGAACAAAGCATCACCCATGTATCGTGGTGACCTTGGTGTAAACAAAGCCAACTGCCCTGCCAGTCACATAAGAGCACATATGATTATGTACAGTACATAGTACTTGACCATAAACGACTACATTGCTGGTTTATGTATTTACCGTATTTTTTAATCATTATTTTAGACTGTACTCCTACTTACACAGAAGTGTGGCCTCACACACCCTGTGTTTACTGTATCTCTTCACTGCACCAAGAGGCCACTCTAAGTAACGACCCTACACTATTAGGTTTGGGTTTTTTTTGGTTTTTTGAGGCAGGGTCTCCCTTTGTAGTTCAGGCTGGCCTGGAACTCACTATGTAGCACAGGCTGACCTCGAACTTGCAGTGATCCTCCTGCCTCACTCAGCCTCCTGAGGCAGGTGTGAACCATCATGCCAGGCAAAGTTTTTAGTTTAATGAGCAAAGCTGCTAACAGAGAGAGACTCCCTGTTGTTTAAAGTACACTTCCTACTTGAAGTGAGAGCTAGTGGGGGAAGATTTCCTGGATTTAAACTCCTATTTTTCTCACTCTTAAGCTAGATAACAGATATTAGGGTCTAAATTTCCTTGCAGTTGTGTTTCTATCTTTTTTGGGGGGGGGTACTGGGGATTGAACTCAGGTCCCCAAGCTTACAAGGCAGGCGGTGGCACCACTGAGCTAAATCACTATCTTTCTGTATAGGAGGCTGCTGGTTTGGACTGAGCTGCACTTGGTCCAACACTAAACCAAAATGGAGTTACCGGGGCTGAAGTTTCATGCCACTAAGTCAAAACTTAGTTGTTTCTCTCCTCTCCCAAGAAATCAAGAGAGATAACATCTAAATCTCCAACAGGCCAATTTAAGGGAGACCCCCTGTGCTTTAACCTTTACAAGGAAAGTAACTGAAATGACAATTCACTTTTTGTTCTGTTTCTTCAGTCTTTTTTTCTGCTTATAAAAAGTCTATCTCGGGCTGGGGATTTAGCTCAGTGGTTTCACTGACTGCTGCACAAGCGCAAGGACCAAGTTCAATCCCTGGTACCAAAAAAAAAAAGTCTATCTCCTCTGCCCAGAACACTCGTTCTATTATACTTACAATAATGCATTGTCCTATTCTAAAAGCACGAATAAAAACCAATCTTTAAAGTTGTACTCTCATCTTTTGATTATTTCCTCTTTGCTCCCTATCTACTCAGGTCTGCACTAGAATTCCCACTCTACCCCTCTAACCATCATCAATCACACTTTAGCCCTAAATTACTCTGAACTCACCGTAACATCTGTGGGCCTTCTGCTTTAGAAAGATGCTGCAGGAGTATCCCCCAGCATCTGTGGCTGAAGCCCCTTCCTGCTCACATGCCCACATCCAGTCAGATAAGGCTGCACCGATTCTACCCCTAACACACCTCCAAAGCTTGCTGCCACACTTAAGCAGACCATATCTAGTCTCCCTTCTCTGCCCCGTTTCCTTCCCTGTGTACCTGTTAATTCAACTTTCAACTCACTAGTCCAGGGATCCTTTAAAGCACATCCTTTCAATCTTCCTCCTTGTAACTCATCATTAGCTTCCCCAGTTCACAGGATCTGGTCTACACAGTCTAGAAACTGACCCCTTCTCCACGCCTGTATACTCTGACCACACTCAGCTAGCCGCGTACTCTCTCAGGTTGGTCTTGACCTAGGCAGTGCTTCTGTCTGGAAGGTCTTCCCTCTCTCAGCCACTTGGTGAACTCCTACTCCTCCCTCAGGACTCATCTTCAGGTTTATTTCCCTAGTAAATACTTCCCTTATCCTTCTTTCCAGAGAATCTGCACATAGTTCTTTCATAAGAACAATCAGATTTTTCACTCTTTTCCAGCGCTGGAGATGAACCTAGGGTCTCATACACGCTAAGTAAGCACTTTACCACTGAGCTACATCCCTAGTCCAGAGTAATCACACATTTTTGGTAATAACTCTTATATTTTCCTCTCCTTAATTAGAATGAAGTCTTATTTTCAGGGTCAACTTTTGTCTTGTTTAACCTATGGTTAAGTATATGGTAGATGCTACAGATTTTTGCTTAGTGAGTCTTTGGTATCAGTTTAATATTACTGATAACAGTTAAAATGATGTTCAAATTGGAAGAAAATAAGAATGGGAAGACATTTCCATTCTAGCATATGATAACATTAATTCTATAACCTCTGATGAATGAATGGTTTCTCCAGCCGTTCACAAGTATAATAATACCAAATAATCTTTTATTTGCTGGGAGGAAGAAAGGACTGAGAAAAATATAAAGTCAACCATAATTCTCTAAAAGCTATTATTAATCTTGGTTTATTCCACTTATAGCCATCAAAGTAAGATTAGGTCATACCAATTTAGCAACAGAATGTCAGGGAACATGCTTATTTAGACAAGATTTTCTATGTTTAAAGTTAATAGAATTTAAAATGATTCACACATCATTTCAAAACTCATGTAAGCTGAACGTTCCACCCATTCTGATAAAGACACAACTGAAATGTCATTCTGTTGGTACTGACTCTAGACTCAAAGGTAAAGTTTAACTTTCACAGCTATATACAGAATATTGCATAACCAATTTAGGAAATAAATAGCTTGATTCATGTAGCTTTACTTTGCATCAGAACATTTACTAGAATATTATTTTTATTACATAATTCACCAAAAATGTATTAGAAGAGTGCTCAGAATTAAACTGGAGTAAAATGAGATTCTTCTCTAAGAAATAGCAAAAATCAAAGTTAGTCATTACATCATTTATACAATAAACTGCATGTATACCTCTGTAGTTCCCCCAAAACCTAAATTTCTACAGTCTTAAAATGTCAGCATAGATGAATAAACAATTGGGAGTATCTTATTATTGTATGATAACTCGTATATTTCTAAATGAAATGCTTCTGATGTAAAATAATGCAAACTATTATCTATAAACTGATATTCCTTACTTACCTCCAGGTTTTGACATTCCTGAGCAGAATTGGTAGGCAGACCAATCCACTTGATTTCTTTTTTTTCCTTTGAAATTATGTTCATTGCCATTAGCACATTTAAAGCATCATAAACTCTTCTCCTAATGTTCTTCTGATCATAAGCCTGCTAAAAAATATTTTTATTGAGTGATAAATTTTAAGGATTAAGACAGTCATTTATTAATTCAATGAATAATATCTTCAAAGTATTGAAAGAATTCTCAGTAAAAATATCCTTCAAAATTAAAGGTGAAATAAAGATACTTTGAAGCAATATAAAACATAAAATAATCCCAGAAATAGAAATTATATTACCATCAGATCTCCATTAAAAAAAAAATACTAAAAGGACTTCTTCAGATGGAAGAAAGATCATTTATAATGGGAGCCTAGAGATATAGGATAGAATGAAGAAAAACTCAAAAGGCAAAAATTGCAAGGCATGGTGGTGCAAGACTTTAATCCCAGCACTCAGGAGGCTGACACACTGTTCAAGGCCAGTCTGGGCTACTATAGTGAGTTTAGGGCAACCTGAACAACATAGCGGGACCCTGTCTCAAAACAAACAAAACCAACAACAACAAAAACCCCAAACAAACAAATGGTAAACATGTGGGTAAATCTCAACTAATACTATATTTTTAAAATGTCTTATAGAATACAGATTATATACAAAACTAATATATATGACAGTAATAGTACACATATCTATATCATCTCAGAAAGGAGTAGTGGTGGTAAAGTATTCTAAGGCCTTGCAATTGTCTGGAAGGATTTTAGACTTAGAAAAAAATATCAAGAATGCTTATTTTAAGTTCTAGTTAAAATTGTTCTTAAAATGTGGCCCATGGACCAATTTTGATTGGCAAATAATTTTCAGTCCCCAATGGAAATAGAAACTTGCACCAAAATGCAATGACTATATCACCAAGCATCCTATTTCATTCAGCTGGCCTCTCCTTACCCCCGCCTCCCCTCCCCTCCCGTAGAAAACCTTTGTCAATGAAGGAAATCTGTGATGACTTAGATGGCAGAACAAGACCTTTCACTTACTATGGATAGGTAGTTCCTAAGAACAAAAACCAGTTAGTTAAATGCCATGGTTCAGGATGGTGGAAGCCAGGCATGGGAGGCCTAGACAGGAGGACTGCCAAATTCAAGGCCAGCCTGGGCAACTCAGCAAGACTCTGCCTCAAAATAAAGGGCTAACCTATGCCTGGTGGCACATGTCTAATCTCAGTGCTCTGTGGGGCCGAGGCAGGAGGATTGCAAGTTCCTGCCTTGCTCGAACAACTTAGTGATTTAGCAAGACCTTATCTCAAAATAAAAAAATTAAAGAAAAGGCTAGGAATGTAGCTTAGTGGGAAAGCTCTGGGTTCAATACTCAGTATAAAAACCAAAAAAGGACTGGGCCAGCAGCATATGGTAGCACACGGGTCCACACTCTAGGAGGCTGAGACAGGACCATTAGATGTTTGAGCCCAGCCTGGGATATACAAGGGCTGGTGATGTTGCTCAGTGCAAAGGTCCTGGGTTCTATTCCCAGTAATGGGGAGGGGGGTGCCATAGAATCCATTTAAATATAAAGGTAAACCTAAATAAGTGGAGAATTTAAGTTACAGAACTGAATGTAAATATTAGAAATCCTGGCATAGAAACAGTGATAATATAACAACAAATATCAAGGGGTAATAAGGTAGTGATACTGATTTTTTCACTTTGACACTGGAAGGGATACAGACACTTCAAAGCAGATTAAGTAAGTAACAGAAGCACAATGTAATCTATTTAAAGTCATAAAACAACTATAATTTTTTTAACAATTAGTATTAAGATAACCAATATGAATGCTGTGCTAGAGGAGAAAGATGGAAGATGTGAATAAATATAAGTGTACTAATTTTCTTTTTTCTCCATAACAAACAGATAATATCTACAGGTGATAAGAAACCACATATAAAGTGTGATACCTAAAGCTATAAAGAGAACCAACTAAAGAACTACAGGATATAAGCCTTCCCAATTATTAGAAAAATAGCAGCAGTGAACAAATAGGACAAAAAGTCTGTTTATTACCCTAGGGGTATTGGGAGAGAGGATGGTAAATACTATGTTAGAGGCCCAGGAATTTAGCTCAGTGGTTCCGCCACCTGCCTCACAAGCACAAGGACCCAAGTTCGATCCCTGGTACCAAAAAAAAAAAAATTATGTTAGATGCTGAAAAATGCTAAGAAGAAATGCCTCATTGTAGTGACATCTGAGTGAAAAGAAGGAGGGGACAGAGGAGCCATAGGATACTTAGCAAAGAATGTTCTGGGCAAAGGAACCAGCAAGTATGACATCCCGACCAGGAACACTGTCTGACTCGTGCACCACGGCTTGCGCCAAGCCAACTGGGAAGTGGGCAGGAGGTGAGCACAGTGAGGTGCCAGGGCTGGAGATCATGCAAGAGGTTTGGCTTCCACTCAGAATCTGGATGCTGTATACTTTTCAAGTTCTCAGAGAATATTAAAAGAAACAAAACACAACAGAGGAAAATCCATCATATGATGGCTCAATAGGAAACCTTAATGCAATACAAAACAGAAATAGTTGCCTCAAATTCACAGTTACCCTCCTGCCTCAGCCTTCCAAGTACTGGGATTACAAGAGTGCCCCACTACTTCTGGTGGGAATGCTTTCTAATATAGGGCAAAGGGGAAATTAAAACTAAAGTTACAGAATATCTAAAATAATATAATCAATAGCATAGGGATAAATTAGTGCTCAAGAGGGAAAGTCATAGCCATAAAGACTTTCATTACTGAACAAAAATAATAAAAGTGCATAAAGTGAACTAGGTGTGATGGCACATGCCTGTGATCTCAGCACTTGGGAGACTGAGGCAGGAAGATCACTGCAAATTCGAGGCCAGCCTGAAATACATAGTGAGATCCTATCTCAAAAAACCAAAAAGTGCATTAAAAATATATATGTCATAGTCTACCCCCTCAACAAAGCACCAGGACTAGATGGTTTCAAAGTCAATTTCCATAAAATTTAAGGGAACTGGAATCAATCTTTAATGTTATTAAACTTCTTTTTTTTGGTACCAGGGATTGAACTCAGGACCTTGTGCTTGCAAGGCAGGCGTGGTGCCACTGAGCTATATCCCCGGCCCAGTGCTATTAAATTTTAATGGAGTAAAGACAAAGAATACTTTTAAACTCATTTTATAAAGTTAACATATCACTACTATCCAAAAACTGCAAAAAAAAAAAAAGGTTTAAAAAATTATGAATATCACTATAAAAACTAAAATTTCAGGAAATGATCCACAATTTGATTAAACATCTATTTCTGATCTTTATTAAGTAATAAAAACAAGTGCACATTTTAAAAATCAGGCAAACTATAGTTGCTATAATTTCCAAATAGAACTTTTATCATCTTTAAGGTTGAAATAGTATAAATATTTCCATTCAAGGTTAGAATTAAAGATGTAGCTGAGTGAGGGTGTAGTTCAGTGGTAGAGTGTATGCTTAAAAGATCCAGGGATAAAAGAGATCAGAAGTCTCTAGTGATAGAGGGACAGATTCCATAGGGCATGAAGAAACAAACTCTTGATAGTCATGGAAATGATCTGCCTCTTGATAGCTATTAAAATTCATACAATTAAAAAAATTTATACAATTTTATACTTGAATATATCTGATTATAAACCATTCATAAATAAGGAAAAAAAATTAACTGTACACTTACAATATGCATATTTCCCCCTGAAATTTTACCTCAAATGAAAAAAATGAGGATGATCCCACATGCTAAAAAAAACAATTTCAGCCAGGTATGGTGGCACACACCTATAATCCCAGCTACTCAGGGGGCTGAGACAGGAGGATTATAAATTCAAGCCCAGCCCAGACAATTTAGGAAGACCTTGACTCAAAAATAAAAAAGGGCTGGGGATGTAGCTCAGTGGCGCTGCACCTGCCTGGCAAGGGCAAAGTCCTGTGTTTGATTCCTAATACTGGAAAAAAGACAGAAAGAAAGAAAAAAGGGTTGAGCAGGTAGCTTCCCTAGCATTCATTCCCTAATATAGTAAAAGAAAACATATTTCTGAGATATGTTAAGAAAGTAGGGACCAGGGATTTAGCTCAGTGGTTCTGCTGTGTGCCTTGAAAGCACAAGGTCCTGAGTTCGATTGTTGGTACCAAAAAAATAAAAAAGAAAGTAAAATTAAGAATGCAGCAGGGCCAGGTATTTAGCTCAGTGGTTTCGCGGCCTGCTGTGCAAGCGCAAGGACCTGAGTTCAATCCCCCATACAAAAAAACAAAAAGAATGCAGCATGTGCCAGGCATGGTAGCACACACCTGTAATCCCAGCACTCAGGAGGCTGAGGCAGGAAGATTGGTGTGATTTCGAGGGCAGCTTGGGCTACAGAGTGAGTTCTAGGCCAGCCTGAACTATATAGTCAGACCTTATCTCAAAAAACAAAAAAAGAGAATGAAGCATGCAAAGCATGATCACTTTGTGTTGAAATAATAAATTTAAAAAATTATTTTTGGTACTGAGGATTGAACTCAGGACCTTGCGCTTGCAAGGCAGGCAGCGGAACCAGTGAGCTAAATCCCCGACCTCAAAAATAAAATTTATTATGCATATGCATAAAGAATTTCTGGAATGATCTTCAAGAATCTAGTAAATGAATATTACCCGTGAGAGGTAGATGGGAGACTGGGATAAGAGAGATATTTTAAAATTATATATTTTGTACAACTGGATTGTCTTAATAACCAGATTTTAACAGACATGAGCATGTACTACTTTTCCAACTAAAAATAAAATACGATTTTCTTGTTCAGTTAAGACAATGAACAAAAGGTAAGGCTCACAAAGTATATGAAGTCATTGGTAAGTGATTGAATATATATTTTTAAAAGATGCTCCTTCAGTAACACTCCAAAGTTTTTTGAGACAGGGCCTTGATATGTAGTGCAGGCTGGCATTCAACTCATTATGTAGCCTAGGCTGGCCCTGAACTTGCACTGATCCTCTTGCCTCAATCTCCTGAGTGCTGGGATTACTGGTGTGTACCACCATGCCTGGCTCCAAAATTATTTTGTAAAGGTACCTTTTTTTTAATAAGTAATAAAATAATTTTTTGCCAATCAAAACAAAAAAGCAACAAAAAATACTGAACATATAATTTTATATAATCAAGTAAGATTCCTAGCTTATCTGATTCCTAAAATCTATGTCACAGACAACCCCAAGGGATGAATGTCGGCATCAATAATAACAATCGATGTCAACTTCATGATCTACCTACCGAATCAGCTGCCAAATGATTATTTGAATTGGTGAACTCTGATACCAGTTCATCAGCTACTTCATTATATGATGTTGTACCTTTCCGCTGAACTTTTTCACACACTTTCATTGAAAAATGTCTCAAGCCTTTTCCATTTTTATCTCCTTTTTTGCTTCGTTTACTAGAAGAGAAAAAATTGTTTATGAAAAACAGTATATTCTATTTATCAGACTTCCTTTACAAAACAGTAAGGAAAAATGTAACTAAGCAGTAAAAATTTAAACTAAATAGAAAAGAGAAAATGTTTTCAAATCTAATTTTTGACTTAAGAGGCCAATAAAGTATAAAGTGCTTTCTATGTACATCATTCATTTATTTAGCAAATTTTTACTGATAAGCTGCTGTTATATGCCAGACAATATTACACACACCAAAAATCAGCAAAAAAGTAGCAAAAGCCCTGACCTTCTACAACTTGTATACTAGTCAACATTTTTTTGTCTTTTAATAGTTACCTACTATTTACTACGTGCATTATGTTTACTACAGTTTCTCCCTGAAATTAAAGTATTAGTATTCTCAAATTTATGTACTATTTTTTTTTTTATTTTTTGGTGTGCTAGGGACTTAAGCTCAGGGCTCCATGAATGTTAAGCACATGGTACCACTGACCTACACTCCCAATTCTTAACAGTTTTTTTGCGGGGGAGTTAATGGGGATTAAACTCAGGCCTTCACCGTGAGATATATCCTCAGTCCACTTTTTATTTTGAGATACAGTCTTCCTAAGTCTCTAAAATGTGCAGGCTGAGTTTCAACTTGCAATCCTCCTGCTTAGCCTCTCAGAGAGCTGGGATTACAGGTGTGCACTATCATGCTAATAAATTTTTAACTGAAAATCACTGGTATTAACATTGGATATACATCTTTAATTAAGTTTGGTTAAGGGCAGCCTAAACTTTGATAACTTAATCATTAAAATTTGGGAGGTTTCAGTTTAGTTCCACTAATACACGAACATCAATTATATGCTAAGAACTGTGTTAGGCACCAGAAGTATGAAGACTCAGTCAAAATCCTTTCCCTCAGTACGAGTCTTAGAAGAATAACAGAGATAATAAAATAAATGCCCTGTCAGAGTTATTCACAGTGTTCTATGGAAAGTATAAAGAGGGACATTCTAGTCTAATCCACAGGAAGATGGTCTGTTGAAAGTCATGAATGAAGAGCAAAACCCAAGGGAAAGAAGGTGAAATGACTACCAGGCAAGAGTATCAACAGCAGTAAGGCAGCCATACACAGACAAGCAAAACAGGTAAAATATGTAAAAGACTTACAAACAACAGAGCAGGTTTACCCAAATATAAAATGCAAGGCAAATGAGAAGGAAGAAAGGTAAATAAAAAGACAGGCTCTTAAATGCCATATAAAGAAAACTAGACTTCATCTTACAGTATTGCATCAGTAAGACTATATTTATTAAAAAAAAGGATTATATTTATTGAAATTATTTACATGTTCTACTATGGTGTTTTCATTAAGAAAAAAGACATTGAGTATGCACTTATCAAGAGAATGAGATGAAGGGACATTTACTTTTTTTTTTTGGTACTGGGGATCGAACTTGGGTCCTTCGGCTTACACAGCAGGCGACGAAACCACTGAGCTAAATCCCCGGCCCGACATTTACTTTCTTTTCCCTACATTCCCCAAGCATCATCTATGTAGCCTTTGTGGAACAGGTACCATATCACATAGATTACTACTTAAAATGTGCTAAAACAGCTAAGTGATTTAAATATGTGAGTGGGGCACATAGTAAGATTCTCAGTAAGGCAGATATTCTTGCTGCAAAAGAGATTAATTGATAGAGGGAAAAACAATGACAGAAACACAAGCTGAGAGGTTATTCCAACAGCCTAGACAAGAAATGGTAAGTCCTGAAATTGGGGTTGTGGTAGGAGGGGAGAGATGGGGGTGCAAAAGATCTGACTCATAACTTTCACATTAATTATATGTGAAAATACATACTTTTACTTAATTCAATATATCTAAAATATTTTATTTACAGAATTAGTGCCTGATAGTTACACATGGCTTTATTCTGGATTACATGTTTAAATCCTAAATACTACTACTGACATTACCACTAGTGTGATTATTGAAAATACTAGTTTCTTTTTTGTTTTTGTTTGGCTGGTTTTGGGTGCTGAGGATTAAACCCAGAACCTCATGCATGCTAGTCAAGAGCTCTACCTGTGAGCTACATCCCTAGTCATAGTCTTTCTTGTTTTTGGTACCAGGGATTGAACTCGGGTCCTTCCACTTGTGAGGCAGGCGGCGGAACCACTGAGCTAAATCCCCGGCCCATAGTTTTTCTTTTTTTGAGACATGATCTTGCTATGTAGTTCAGGCTGACTGTGAACTTACTACATAGTCCAGGTCAGCCTTGAACTTGACGCAATCCTTCTGCATCAGCCTCCCTGAGTGGTGGGATTACAGGCATATGCCACCATCTGAGGGGCAATAGTTTCTTTTTTATATGATCTCACCATTTTCTTTTTAAGTAGTTGTACTTTATCTACCAAGAGTGGTGGAGGACACATCTATTTATAAGTACTTTTCCCATATAAGACATCATTAAGGTCTGACATTTACAGGAAAGTATATAGAGTACTTAATACTCTTTACCACTTGTTATGCTATTGCCTTTCTAGTCTTTTTAAAGTTTGTTCTCTAGTGAGTTCTTCAGGCAGGACTTCAGATGTGACAGTTAATACTGACTGTCAACTCAATTTGATTCAGAAATGCTTCTGAGTGTGTCTGTTGGTGTTTCCAGAAATGACTGGGTCAGAGGGATCCAACTTCATCAGTGGATTAATCTAATGATGAGACCCTAAGTTGATGGCATTATAGAAAAGTGAGAAAACAGAAGACAGGGCTTAGTGGAAAGAAGTCGATCACAGGGATGTGATTTGGAGGACTACTGTCTGGTCTCTGGCCCCTCTTTTCTGTTACTGCTTCCTGGCTGCTCGGGGTGAGGAGCTTTCCTCTGCTATGTCCTTCAGCCATGTTTCTGCCTTGGAGCTAGCAGCTCAGGGACTAAAAACTTTGCTTTAATTTGTGTATGTCAGGTACTATATTTTGTCCCAGCAACAGAAAGGTGACTAATACTGCTGGGTATGGTGCTGGACACCTATAATCTCAGCACTTGGGAGGTTGAGGAAGGAGGATCAGTGTGAATTTGAGGCGACCTGGGCTATACAGTGAGTTCAAGGCCAGCCTAAACTATTTAGGGAGATCCTGTCTTTAAGAAAAAAAAAGGACATCTGGGAAGATGGCAGAGAGATGAACAGGAGAAAAACAGCCTCTCTGAGATATGGTGCCAGACACTAGAATATAGCAACATGAGGAAGAGAAGGACAGAAGTGGGCTACCAGGACCTAGTAAGAATGTGAAGTGAGAACTGAAGCCTGTGGGGAGAGCAGAGAGACCAAATGCAAAAGGAGGTAGCAAGTGGTGCTTTCCCTCTGAGCCCTGACTCACCACATGAGGGGGGCAGCTCCAACCTGCAATACCCATGGTGAATACTGGCGACCCCAAAAGCCTCAGAAAAACCCATGAGTAGAATGTAGCTAGCAGTGGACAGAGTAGACTACAAGGCATGGTGAGTTATTTGGCTTCGGACACTCCCCTAGGAGAGGGTGATTGGCCAGTAGCCTTCTTGGAGAGGGGCCAACTAAGCTGGGAACTCAGAGCATCTGTGGGCTGGCTCCCAACTACCAGCTCAGTGTCAGAGTATGGTGGAACTGAGTTCAAGTTGGCAGGAAGACAAGGAGCTGAGTTCAAGCCAGCAGGAGGCACATAGCAGGCTAAACAAATAGGGTTCCAGCCTCATAGCCAGAAACCAACCCAAACTTTAGTGGAACTAAAGGTGCAGGCTTGCTGGAACAGCAGACATGCCCTGAAGTGGACAATTTTTTCCTTTTGTTTGATTTTCTTTTTCTCCTGTTTGTTCTTGTTTTTATATGAGTGTGAATAATGTTTCTAGTTTTTGTTGTTGTTCTGTTCTTTTTATTTCTTCCTTCTCTCTCTCCCTATCTTCTTCACCAGTTTCCCAAAGTTCATTTAATCTTCTTTTATTCTCCAGCCTTGCTTCTAATCTCTTCCTCTTCTATTTCTCTATTTTTTTCCACTGATTCCTTTAAAATTTTCTCCCCAGAGGATAAAATCGCCATATTGAGGGCATGTTTACTATATAAAATTTTCTGGTTCGTTTTAGATTTTGTTACATAACCCCAAATACAGTTCATACGATTAAAGGTGGCAAATTAATAGCTACCAGTTTGTTGTTTTCTAGGCTGTGTTTGATGCTATTGTAATTGTTGACTGTACTATTTTAGCCAAGGTGACATAATTGTTCTAATTAGTTGTATGGTATGCCAAGGCTGAGATTACCTAAGGGTCATAAACAATACTATAGGCTAGTGTAAGCAACTTCTCATCTCCAATAAATTGAAGAGGTAGGATCTTACAACAGAATCAAGAAACCCAAAAGACAGCCACACCTGGAAGACATCTCTGAGAGGTAGTCATTTCCTAAGGGTTATGAATACTGGCAATAAGCTACCTGCCATAAGCAATTTACAAGCACCAACCTAGGAATAAAAAAAAAAGACAGACAGAGAGAAAGAAAGAAAATGAGAAGACACTTGAGTAAGATACAACACCTCAGACTTCCAGCTCACCAAAGGCAAACCCAGGGGGCAATGAGGTGGAACAATTTGAAAGCTACTCATCTAGAATCTCTGAAATGGTAACAGTAGAAGTAACAAAGCAGATGAATAAGGCTGTAGAAAAAAACAAATGAGAAATAATTTCTCAGATAACTACAGAGATGGTGACCATAAGGAAAGACATGGTTAGCAACTCTAGAGCAGATACATATTTTTTAAAAATGGGGAGCTTAGGAAAAGATGGAAACCATGAACATAGGAAAGAAATGGAATCCATGAAAGAGATTCAAATAGATATCTAGGGGATTAAAAATATCACTGAAAGTATACACAGCAGAATGAGCCAAAATGAGGACAGAATATCAGATATAGAAGACAAGATTGCGGTTAGTGATCATGAAAAGAAAGCTTTCTTAAAAATAGCAAGAGACCATGAAAAATCAAT